TGCATTTTACAGACTGCTAATTCATCAATGCAGACACTAATATACTGTAGCTTATGCATTGGTAAAGCAATCCTGCAATAGTGCTGATCAGGAGGTTTGAGTTTCAATTTTATTTCCAAAGGCTTTTTTGCATTGAAGGCACTGACAGGGAAATTAACCGACATCTGGGATCATCCTCTGTGCAGTTCGCTCAGCCAAAAGACCTTTGTGCCTCTGTCCAAAAAACTGCCAGTGAGTTTATCCTGGTTTGATAATTACCGAACCACAACTGCTAGATGCCTACAGATGTAGGTACTGTAGCAATAAGGCTGCTAGAAGAGAAGACAGAAAAAAACATGATCTTTGCAATTCTTAAACAAGCCAATTTATCAGTTTATCAGCATTTTACAAAAACATCTATCAATGAAGGATCAAGCAAGATACTGTTTTCTTTTGTCAGGTCCCTATAAGTTGCTGAATTTCTGAAGTGATTTTTTTTACTTCTGTCATCGGCTCTGCTTTGCCTGAAAGCTATCTTCTCATTAGCAGGTTCTTTTTGTCCTTCAAAACTCTAACAGGAACCCACCCAGAAGCCAGAAAGCGAGCGAGAGCTGTCCTTGATGTACCAGCTCTGCTGCCTCTCTGAGTTTTTCCAAACAGCTCTCTGCTGACCCAGAAATAATTTTGTTTAATAATAAAAAGAAGCTCTGAAGCACACCCTATATCAGTTGCCTTAAGCTTATAAGGGAGTGTCAGCTACTACACGTACAGAAATTAAATAGTATATCTCAGCGATTTCTTTCTACTCCTTTGTAAAAAATGCTGGACCTGATATCCACATTTCAGAAGAAACAGAAAGAATTAAAGAAATCCCTTTTATCCTCAAACAGTACAGACACTTCACAAGACAGCATGTGTAGCAAGACCACGATGTGTCACATGCTCTACCACTGTACCAAATAAAGAGCCAGCTTGGCTCTAGAAGAGGCCAAGCCCCACTCGTGGTTGAGACTGGAAAACAGGGAGAGCTCCTTCTTCCCAAGCTGCATTCCTGAATGAGGCCGGAAAAGAGGCAGAACTCCCTCTTCCTGAAAATGTATGTACACTTCTGAAGACACCTTCTGTGCAACTGTTTGACAATTTCTCCTTGCTATTCTATGTTTATTCTTGTTATCAAGTCCAGACATCAGACAGACATCAGACCTACTTATACAGTACATTACAGCACTACAGCTAGTAGAGGAGGCATGTTTAATACAGTTACTGCTAGCTGCAGTTGTAGTCAATCTACAGAAAGGATGTTATATACATTCCAGGGCTAAAAAGAATGTCCAGGACTCAGGGTCCAATAATCTATCCTTTCTAGTCTTGAACAGAGAAGGTGAAGCTATTTCAACATTCACAATCCTCAACTACAAGCTTGCCTTAGGCTTCCTTTTACAAAATCAAAAGTGAAACACCAACCAGAGGACACAAGAGGAGAGCCGAATTTAAAAAATCCGACCAGGGAGCACTTTTTTACACAGACGATGGCGGGGGTCAGGAACAAGTAACTCAGCCATGTTAGCGATGCCGATACCCTGGCTTCCTTCAGGAAACAGCTGGATGAGGTCCTCAGGTCAAATGGCTACACGCAACCCAGCTGTCCTCCCATGTGAACCCTCTCTTGATCGAGTCTGTTTTTCCCATGTAAAGGCTCTTTAACCCTGACCCTGCAGAGATAACCCGGTAAATTTCATAGTCACCATTAGATAGTAAGTTTCAAAGGGCACGGAACAATTTAATCGTGATTAATGGAGCAAGTGATTTGTTAAATCCAGTAATTCAGAGATCATTTAGAGGAAAAAAATTTGATTACCGTTCGGCCCTAAAGGATCAGAATTATCTTAATTGAGAAAATTGCTTTTTTAACTGATCGCATTTCCTAGATTTGGGTTTGCAGCGTAATGCTTTACAGAAGGGGTTCCCAATCGTGGTCCTGGTGGATCACACAGCTACTGGTTTCATTCCAGTATAAGCTTAATTACCTAACTGAAGCCTTAATTGAACTAATAAGTTACTTGATAAGTATATTTGCCAGTTTTTGTTCAAATCTCATGTTTTGAGTTTTTATTGTACTTATGAAATGTAAAAATTTAAAATGGTCATCTCCAAGATGCTTAAGAGCTGAAAGCAGTCAAACCATTCAAATTAATAACATTATTAATTCAATTATGTAACTGAGAGTTTAGCAGGAGCAGAAACCAGCAGATATGTGGGCTTCCAGGATTAGGATTTGAAACCCAGCTCTAAAGCATCCATCCATAATCTAATCTCCGCTTCACCCAATACCGGATCACAGGGGAGCTGGAGCCTGTCCTGGCAGGCAATGGGAACAAGGGATACACCCTGGAAGGGACAGCAGTCCTCTGCACACAGACTCAGATGTGCACTCACTCCCACCAGGGTCAATTCTCCCAGAAGCCAGTTAACCTACTGGTATGTCTTTGGACTGTGGGAGGAACCCAGATCACTCAGAGGAAACTTACATGAACACGGGAAGAACATGCGAACTCCACACAGATAGCAGCTCAGAAATTGAACCCAGGGCCTCCATCCTGTGAGGCAGCAATGCTAACCACTGTCACTGTGCCGCCCAGCTCTAAATCAGTGGTTTCCAATCCTGTTCCTCAAAGATCACAGTCTCTTCTGTTACACCTGAGGCCATTAAAACCTTACAGTACAACTGAAATATTTGCTTGAAAAGTCCTTTATATCCAATATTAGCTTTTATTACAGTACTCTAGCATGAAAAGTGCCATTAACTATGTCCATATGCTGTGTTTCTGAACGCTGTTCAACTATGTTTACGGGTGTCAGTGACCTGACCAGCTCTCTGATATTCAAGTCATTGAACTCATGCAGAATCAACAATGCTTAGTACAGGAGTGTTTAACACAATATACAGTCATTAGCACTTGTGACTGTGTATCATTACTTAGCATTCTGTTAAGAGCTCTTTAGGCAATAATTGATGAGCAATAGTTCATTGCACGTCTTGGCAGCAGCTAAAACGGAGATTTCTGAAACCAAGAACTGAGGGGATAAAACAGCTCTTTATAACAAAAGAATAGCCCAATTAAGGACTCGTTAAGCATCGCTAATTAAACGTTGAGTCTAAATGAAAAGCAGAAGATGCCTTGGTCCTCAAGGGTTTGCAGTTGTGCTCATACTGCAGGTAACCTTTCCCCCCAGGCTGTTGGGAAGCGATGGGAGTTCTGATCCCTTCCTCTTGGGAAGAACACTCAAGGGACACTGGGACTTGACCGTTTGGAAGCTAATGAGTGGGTGGATTAAAAACGGTGCTTAGACTACCAGGGTCCAGCGTCTGGTCCTCGTCTAGGCACAATGAGGAAAGAAAATGGTTGCCTTACCTTTCTCCACCAGTCCATTTTCTTTCACTTTATCTAATGCAGGGTCACGGTGGAGCCGGCGCCTATCCCAGCAAGCAACAGGCGCAAGGCAGGAGACACCCTGGATGGGATGCCAGTCCTTTGCAGGGCACACACAGACACGAACATGCAAACACTCACACCATGCCACCCTACAACTATGCAGACGGTCTTTAAATTATTATGATCATGAAAAAGTACAGAGCGATCTTTATGACTGTATGCATATGCTTATTTTTGAGGTGATACATGCTACAGCATAAAATCTGTCTGTTGGTTTATTTGTAGTACTTGGAACTGTACGTGCATGTGATACTGTAGTAGAAGTAAATAAGAACAGTTACAGATAAGAGGGGAGCCATCTAACTTGTTGTCACCCATGCCTGAATCAATACCAACACTTATGAGCAATCAGGAGGATTGAAAAATAAGAGCGTGGGGCTTAATTACAAAAACTTTACCTAGCTCCTGCAAAATATGATACTGCCACACGCAGGAGACAATAAACTAGACAAATCCAGCCACTCAAGCTTAGATGAGCTGGAGGCTCTAATATTTTAGGAGCATGAGGAAAATAAATTGAGTCTGAATACTACAAGATCCTTACTCGTGGTACACTGATGACTAAATGACTACAGAAGTTAAAATGTTACCACTCATGAATAAAAACACAGTGTTTTTTTACCTCAACGTTTTCTGCGACGTATGCTTAGCGGCGTACAACTCAACTATTCACGAATCCTTATTAACGTAGTCACAAGAGCCATCCTAAAACACCGGCACCAAGGCAGTACAGCCGGTTTGATATCTTACACAAAAGCCACGAAATGACAGATATTCGCCTGCAGTTTTTTTTTTCCGATTAACCATCACCGCTGAGTCAGCTGTCCGTCGAGGTATATTCACATTCTGCACACAACCGCGCCAGCTCTGGTGGTTATAAACAGCACGCCCGCAGCGCTCATGGCCAGTAATGTGTGGACTGCTCCAGAAACACTTAGCAGTTTAGACATTAAAAATGAAATCAGAAAGATCATAAACGTAGAGGGATGTCCTCCCCGAACGAACGCTCTCATTCCTTTATTTTCCTGTTTTTTTTTCCCCGAAAACGCTCTGAAAGTGAAACACTTCGCTTCGCTACAGGTAACCAAATCCGAGAGATGGCCACGAATCTCACAAGGCGAAACGAAAGAAAACGAACCGACTTTCGTCCTGGTGGAATTTAAGTGAATTAAGCAGAACCCGTTTAAAAATGACTCAAACGAAGGTCAATTTGTGATAGCCTCCGCTAACGGGGATGTATACCGTGGGGGCATTCCACCCGTGCATCTCATGTTTCACCTGTTAGAAAATCCCACGTGTATTCATGAAATTAAATACACGGAAAAACACAATTTAGCATCCTGTAAATATCATGTATACAGAGGTTCAACTGGTAGCAGGCAACAGACTGGAGCTGTTAGCGAAATGAGACCGTTAGACGCACAGAAACGAGCGCAAAACGCAGTTGGATAACTTTCAAACCTCCAGGAACGGACGCTAAAATAACGCACCTACCCCGAGCAGAGCAAAAGAATCGACGTTCCTTACCCGGGTTTTCAGGGGCTCGCCCTGCTCCATGATGCTAACGAAGGGGATTTCCAAAACAGAAGACATAAATTCCACTTGGATCAGCTCGTCCGGGGTCTGGGGGAAGGCGAGCACCGCGGAGACCCCCTGCACAACGATAGCTTGGCAGACGCACCTGAAGAGGGACTCCGGGTCTCCGTCGTGAGGCTCCCGCGGCAACACCTCGAGGCTCAGGTTGTAAGGGAGGAAGTTGTCCCGACTTTGAGACAGGCTGGCCAGGGCGCGGTTGAGAGCAGTTAGCACCCGGGCCGGCTGACCGGTAGGTAGCAGCGCACCCAAACGCACAGTGTGCCCTATCCGCGCCAGGATGTGGCAGGGCTGGGGATGGGGGTGACCGGGGTCGATATAGGTATGGAGGACGATTTGGAACCCGAAGTAAAAGTATACCAAGAACCTGGAGAAGATTAAATCCATCCTGCTGCGCTCTCGAACAGACTGAGGTCTTTTGAGAAGATAGCATTGCTTGCGTTTTCTTTTTTTTTTGCCTTTCTTTTCTTTTTTTGTTGACGGTGATATGAGTGGTGATCTATAGATGGAGTTATAGTGCGAATGTGTGGTTATAGTGTGAAGGGGAGGGGGGGTGTGGAGAAAGGCGGAGGAGCCGCTTGTCATTCCCCTGTGCCACCGGTAAAAGCAGCAGATATCGACAGCTGAACAGCAGCTGCGGCATGTTGCTCATGTTTACTTTAATACAAATAAATCAATATTTGTCACAACTTGGTTCCGAGGTTGTTTTTTTTCCCCCTATTTGGTTACATTATAGCGTACACCTTTACAGTTTGGCTGCAAACGTTAATTACCTTACATGACGGTCTTTATCGCTGGGAATGGTTCCGAATCAAAGCGATGTTATTAAGCGGCGAGGGAAGACTTGATCTTCAGGAGAGAAACGATTACGGAGATAAAGTCTCGGGTTTCAGCGTGCATGCCCAACTTAAGTTGTTTCATGCTGCCGCGGCTTCAGTAAGACTACAAGGAAAAGAGTATGGTTGGATTTCACATTTCAGCCGGGTCACCCTAAATTGGCTACATGTGTGTCTCGGTACTTAATGCTGAAGTACTGCGGTGTTGGCATAGTAGACAACAATATAGTTTAGGACAGTGTCGTCAACGAATGGCACAACGTATGGACTGGAGAGACTCCAGCCTAAACTGGGGGTAGAGGATGACTCAACCAATTTGCTTATATATGCTTTTCAACCACCCGCCCTCTCCCATCACCCGAATGACATAATACAGCACAGTAATCACGTCCCATTGTGAATTCTTCTGCAGCTCTTAAATAGCGAACGCTTTTCCATTATCGCCCGCTTTAAGGCTCTGGAAGATGTGAGGTGGTTTTCAAATACTTTGCACTCATAAAAATTGTCGTGATAAACAATTATACTTAATTGGTGGTAATGTCCCAGACTGGACGACTATAAGCGTATATACTACCCCCATCGCAATCTACACAGTAATATGCTTTGATAGAAAGGTGGAATTTTATTCTCATACTGGCATACTCAAATATATGGTGTAACTGGAAATAATTTGTGTCTCTAGATACTGTAATTATCATTCCATTATCAGAAGGCCACACCATTATTGTCTGCGACGCAGAGAGTGTTGCCTACAACCTGGACACTAATCCATCCCAGGGCGCACACACAGGACGCAAATGTCCTACAGTAGGAACCGTGCCATCGGACGCTGGGAGAAAACGAGAGCACCGGGGAAAGTCCACGCAAGCTGAGGAGGTTTTTGTGTTGTACACTACAAGCAAACCCGAATTCAGGACCAAAAGATGCTACTATGCTACTCACGGTACTTTTAAATATAGCTACTACAGAATATTACGCTAACAACACACAAACAGTTCGTACTGATAGAATCCGTAGTGATGAAACCGATTTCAACATTTTTTTAAGACTTGAAAGGGTGTTGGTGCTTATAGTTGTAAATCAGATTCCAATGTACAGTAGATCATGTTTTGTCGAACAAAGATGCTTGGAGCAGTACAACACGACGCAAAGATTACAGTACTTGAAAAGAACTAGATGACGCAGCGATTTAAACTTTTATCGACCCATTTAATTTAGCTTTTGTTAGTTCAGTACACTTTTCAACTGTCTTTTTGAATGTGTTTCCTAATCAATACTTTTACGTTTCTCCTTCCTTTTGTTTTTCATTCACCGTTGACGCGCACAGGAATACAATTTAGCAAACATCTGTCTAATATTTCGTTTACAAAAGTGGCGTTACAGTGACATCTTTAATTGGAACAATTATCTGAAAAGCTGACTGTCCCACAGGCACTAGTAAGTCACTAAGGATTACTGTATTTCCCACAGTAAACAACAGTTTACGGTACCTGTTCATAACGAGTGTGACAGCTGGAATTTGGCGTTTAATGATGCGTACTGTTCTTTTGACAATCGATGAAGTTTGCACACCGTGTCCCCAGAGTTTCTTGCTGTACCTAAACCTCTCCCCAGCATGTTAATTAAATTTAAGAGTCAAACTGATCATCTTTGACATCACATAATTACTAGGGGTACATTACCAGTGGACAGGGAGGGAAGTTTGTAAAGCTCCTCAAAATTGATATGACCCTTAGTGTGTTTTACCCACTTATTGTGTAAGACTTTTTTGTTCGGTGCTAATATATAATGTATGCTTTTAAACATACCACTTGAAATAGCCAGTAATGACCTATGGGTCTTGCCGGCGTGGGTGTATTATTTTATTCCTGCGCTTTCCGCGAAAATAAATGACACTATGACATTTAGAAAACTCAGGCACTTCCAAACCAAACTACAAATAAACAAAAACTTTAGTTCTGCCCTCCACCCCAACTTGGCCAATATATCTACACATCTCGCCTGTGTGTCATATTCCATCAGCCTTTGTAGCAGTGTTTTTTTTTTTGTCAAAATAAAAATGTTTCGAGAAGAAAAAGCAAGCGTAGCGGCAAAGGTGTAGGTGTCTGCGTAACGTTTTCAAGCATTTTGAGATTCAGTTCAGCCAGTTCTTCTCCTGCAGCGCTTTGAGCGTTGTCTGGAGACTTGGAAGACACCAGAAGACTGCCACAGGTCACAAAAGAGGACACTCACACTTCAGATTATGAAACCCCTATAGCTCATATACTTTATATATAAGTTATACATCTGTATAGTACAGTATATCACCATCCATCCATTTTCTAACTGCTTCATCCAATACAGGGTCACGGGGGAGCGAAGCCTATCCCAGCAAGCAATGGACACAAGGCATGATAAACCCTGGACAGGTCCATCACAGGGCACATACAAGTACACAGTGAAAAGACATACTCACACTCACACCAGGGCCAATTTCCCCAGAATCTAATTCACCTAACAGCTGTGGACTGTGGGAGGAAACCCACATGAACTTGGGGAGAACATACAAACTCCATGTGGACAGCACTCCAGGACAAGAATGGAACCCAGGGCTCCAGTGTTATGAGGCACCAATGCTAACAACTGCTCCAGCATGCCCCACATCAAATCATCAGTACTGAACATTATTAGGTTCAAATGCATCTTTAACATGTTTTACAGTATATGAGACAATATACGGTTGACCTATAGCCCGTACAGATCATCAGTTGGATTGAGAAATGCAAACAATGAAATAAACATCAGTTTTCACATCAGTTATGTAGTCCCAAGAGTTCATTAACCTCAGAGACACTGTTATTTTAAATCATGTCTTTACCATAATCCAATTTTAAGATGTGTTTTCAGAGTACACTGTCACTCCACTGTCTCTCAGCCTTTTCAGTTCTGGGTCTTCTTGAAATTATCTGTCGATTTGAAACGTCCCTCACTTTCCCATTCACGGAAAACCCTTAAAACCACCACTTTGCTATTTCAGGGAGGGAGCTGTTCAACATCCATTCCCTTCCAATCTACCTAGGTTTATCCTTAATGCTGTTATCATTTCAAGGAGGAACTGTTGAGATCTAAGAGGAACAGGCAAGATTCAGAATCATAGATCATTCCAGGTTTGTCTAGACCAGAATCTCCCAGTTGGCACAACAGCTGAGCTCTCTTTAACTGATCTAGCTGTGTCCTAAACTGGACAAGATTTTTATTTTTTGGTCCAAATGTGATGCAGCTTAAATAGACACAAGAAATGCTTCAGCAATATAGTAGTCTTTCGTGATCACAAAATGAATCTGGGTTGACCACCAGTGAGTGTAAGCACTTAGACTCTCTGAAGTTACTGTGCAAAGACATTTACAACCAGTTGTGTGCTGCACTGTCTTCACACATCTGATATCATTCTATTATAGCATGCCTTCATCTTCTTGACTTTAAGACCTATATCAGAGCATTGTTTTTAGTAATGATTCTTATTTTAAATCCCTTTCATCTGGAATGCTTATTCCAGACTGACTTTGTCTCAGCTGGAAGCCTGCTATGAGTGCATCACATTGAATATGCATTAGTCTTTCAAGGAGTTCATATTGGGAAGTCCTGAGGTCAAGATGTCCCTTTCTCTCCCACAGTCTTTGTCGTGCACTGCCTCTTTGACTTTTTGACAGGATCAAACAACAGACACCAGCTTCCCAGAAAGCACAATCAGATACTGTCCTGCTGTGCAAATGGTGATTATGCCTGAAGTGACATTGCATGACCACGCAGCCATGAAATCTTGTTTGCCCATCTCATACTGCACTGGCATGCCTAATGTGGATCAGTATCAATACACCTTCCTAATGTGGAGGCGGCCTGCTATAGGCACTGAAGCAATGTGCATTATTTCACCAAGCACCAGGAAACCGCATCAATTTCAGCAGCTGCTGTCAGGGCTGCTTCTGAAGCAGGCAAGTTTGAGGACACCTGGGGGGGTGGGGGGGGGGCTTAGATGTAAGTGGCAATGTGAATATTAATGTGGGCTCACACAGCAGAACAGCATGCAGCTTCCTATATGTTCTTGCATCGTTGCCTCTACACATTTAACAAGTAATGAAATATTTTCAGGGCAGCACAGTGGCCGTGGTTGAACTCTGGAGCCCTGGGTTCAACTCTGAAATTGGGGTGCTGTCAGCCTGATGTTTGTATGTTCTTCCCTTGTGCCCATTGCTTGCTAGGATAGGCTCCGGCTCTCCTCCCTGACCCTGAACTGGATACAATTGTTGTGAAATAGATGAACAGTTAAAAAATTTTCAATATGCCTGGTTATGTTACTACCACATATTTTAAACATATCAAGACAGATTTTGCCACATTCAAGGTCTAAGGACAGAGAAGTCTCAAAGTGATGTTTTCTCCAATGGGAGAAGAAATGAAAACTAAAACAATATAGCTTTATTTGGGGTGGTATGATGATTAGCATCCCTGCCTCCAAGGTTCAGAGTGCTGGGTTCAATTCTGGCCACAATGATCTGTTTGTATGGAGTTTTCTTGTGTCCCCTGTGCTCATGTAAGTTTTCATAAACTTACATTCCATTTTCTTCCCACCTTAAAAACTTGCTGGCTAGCAAGATTGGCTCCTCCAAATTGAATCTGAGATAGCATGCACTTTCAGAGCCAGTTTTTC